ATAATAACAATGATAAAAATACTATTCTTCTATTCATACGCCCTCTCTCTTGCTTTACCAACTTTCCCTTTCAGCTCCCGCGGGAGGCACATCATTCTAATATACACAGGTTTTCATCCCTTTTTGTGAGACCTGCTGCAGAGATGGAGACAGGGAGAGGGATGGGGATGGGGGACTGTTTATTCAGTCAGATGGTCTAACGTGTGTGGAATAGATTTGAGCTGAAGAGGAAGCTGTCTACACAATGGCAGTTGGCATCAGTGAGTGAGTGAATGATGCTGTTTTCAAAATCACTCCCTCGTTCGCTCATTCAGTTTACTTGGTAGAGCAGAAGTAATTTGAGATTTTGGACCCATTATCATCACTGACAGCTGTAGTGTTGCATAATGGCAATGAAACATCTACTAAGGCGAAACACTGCATTGTGATATATTGAGCAAGAAGAAGTCCACAGCCATGCTAGCTGCTTTGTGATGCTGTATTTAAGTACAGCAGGGCTTTGAGTTAAATGCTAAAAAAGAAAACGCAAACGTGCTGATGTTTAGCATGTTTAACCCAAGCGGGAAGCTTCCGGTGTTGTGCCGAATTCTGCCTGCCTGCCTGCCGAGAATTGCATGCACCTCGCGACTGGTAACGCTCATTTATGCTGAGAAAAGAGGTGGATGCAAATCTCGGCAGGCAGCCTACAACATCTGTTCTGCCGAATTATGCATCTACCTCTTAAGCTCCTTTTCAGACACTTTGCTGTGCTCATTAATCAAACGCGGTAATCACCACATCTTTTAGCTGAATCTCAATGAATGTTACTTCTACTAAGTGTAATAAAATATTAACGACTCTAAACGTTCTAAAAATATATACTTCGAATCATTTATCACCATTGATGAACCCCACAAAGGATATTATAGCGTTTAAAAGCAGTATTTGGAAGTGTGAAAACTCGGCATTACACCGGTAAGCAAACTGAGGCGAACGTGGAAGTTCCTTAAACCTGCATTCTGTCGAACAGCCAGCAGGGGCCAACGCTTCTGATTGCAAAAAGAAGTCCAGTTCCATTAGAAATAATGGTAAAATGACCCTACTTCTCAGCTGATTTATTACCTCAGTGAACACTTTCCTAATGAATTTATGGTCTCAATTGCTAGTTTCAAGTCTTCTTCAAAGAAAATAGACCATAAAGCAGCTTATGCTTCAGAGCAGGATTATCTATGATTGACAAGTCGTACCATGGCGACCTGTCAATCAAGCTAGAGTGACTCGTACCCATGGCACTTTATTAATTTAACCAGCGCCGTTGAAAAAGCATATTAGGAGTTCATTTTCTCTAGTGAGTACACTTTTAAGACTGTTGTTCACTAGACAAAATTGTCAGCCGTTAAAATGACTGTTAACATGAATTACAGATGCGCCTAGCTAAGCAAGCAAGCTAGCTCCACACACTGCCATTAGTTCCACCATCTCGTCCAAAAAGCATGGTCACAAAAAAATCAACATGGGGGCACCCTATCGGCCACACTCGAGGCTTCAAAACAGCACTCCACAAACCAACGGGTGACCTCACGATGACTACATCCACTTCTTTTATACAGTATGTGGTTTATCCACTTTCACAATCTTGGTTCAGTGTGTTAGCATGCTGTCTTTTGCTAATTAGCACTAGCAGAGGCTAGTGACCCAAAAATTTCATGCCAATCTGTTTAATCTGTTGCCATAGTAGTTAGCATGGTTAAAAGGTAGTGTTTGTTTACTCCATGTGAGGCTGCTACTGTATGTAGTGCATACATTTTGCACTTAAAGTAAATATATATTAAATATATTATTTGTTTATATATAATATTATTCACCCATTCAAAGTTCTTTTCCCAAGATGGCTGCAGCCACATCTCCATGTCTCTTTTTTATACTCTTTTTTTCCACAGCCTCCTTCTCTTGCTTTACTTCCTCGTGCCATTGCCTGTCATTGTGAAAAGGTGTGTGTGACTCTACTAGTAGAGCAGAGCCCATTATCGTAAATAGGCCAATAAGTAACTTCACACAACGTGTCTCCAATGCAAGCACACTCTATATGCAAAGCAGAGGTACACTGTTAAAGAAACTGGCGCCAAGTGATTATATTTGTAATTTAATTTCCTTGGTCACACAGAGATAAGAGAAGGGAGCGGCTACAGTTGGCCAGGGATGAATAGAGTGACGAGAATGGGACTACAGCTTCATTGTCTGTACTGAGATGTCCAAGACGACACCACTTACGAACAAGGGTACCGGTGGGCAGATATGGTACTTACACAGGGATTCACAAGTCCAAAATTTGAAGACACAAAAACAATATTGGTACCAGAAACAGCAGAGAGGGTTCTGCTATGCAAAAAAACCCCACCTGAACTCTCAAATCAAATGGATGAATGTAAGTGCAGGATAATCAAAAAACTCTTTTTTTCCTGATGCAAGCTCTGTCTCTCCCCTATCTGTCTGTCTCCTTTGCACTCAGTTCTGCCGAACAAATGTAATCAGAAGGGTGGTCTGGGTAGGATGCCAGTCACAAAGAGCAATGGCTCATTGCAGATTCTACAGGCGAGATGAACTGGATCGCTGCAAGAAAGACGACTGAAGGACATAAGGTGTACTCTCCCCACATCCTCTCTCTGTCTCCCTCCCTCTGTCTGCTTTTTCTGAGATTGCAGGAGTACAGACATCACATTTCCTGACTTTTTCCATTTTCAAAGAGTGTCCACTTATACTGATAACAATGCAGTGGAGGGCACAATACTGCAGTGGTCAAACCTCTGATTTTGACTACATCAGAACATTCAGGGCTGTAGAGAGCTGGCGGTGAGCGATGGTGAGGAAGAGAAAGGTACAAAGTTCATCAAAATTTGACACCACACATCGCTGCACAGACTTCAGGGACAGTGTGAAACTATTTTGTGACATCTCAAATCCTCTCTCCCCCTTTGTTCTCTGTTCTCTCCTCCTCTCATCTTTATGTCTTGTTTCTCCCCTGCTGTCTTGTCTTTCGGCGCATTTCCTCGGTGTCTTCACTTTGAACCCAACAGCATTAACCTGTCAGGGAAGTTACAAATGTTCTGAGTGAATTATGTAAACCACAGAGAAATAAAACTGCAAAAAGCATGGAGTTCTCTCTTTATTTCATAATTCATCATGCTCTTAGATCAAGCCAAATAAAGCTTGACTTATTAAGTAGTCCGGCACATCCTGGCTCAAAATCCTCTGAAATATGCTTGATAATATTAATCACACTTTGTCTCTTTTACAAATAAAAAATCAAACACATATGCAAACATGCAAAGATTTTTTTGTGATTTCATTACTCATTAAATTAGAGCAGTGTCTCACGCATTTCAACAGATTTCCCTGCAAGAGGCAAAGCAATAGATGTTACACCAGCACCACCAAAAGGTAAAGCAGAAAACAACTGTTTCTTGCTTTTCTTTGTCTCTTTTTCTTCCACTTCAAAATACAAACTCACATAGCTGAAAATCAGATTAAGGATGCTTCGCCTTGGCAGCCAGCAAGTTTATTTATTTATCTCATTTAACACAACCACAGACATGCACGAGAAAGGGGAAACACACACTTTATATTGGTGGAATGGATAGTGGCAGTGCAGCATAATTAGTAGGACATGGCTGTATAATTTGTCTGTAATTGATATGAAGAGCAGTGGTTAAGCCCAGGTTGTGTACTACACATGCTGCCTGCCGCAGGCAGGAAACGCTGGCGGGCAGCTCAATCTTGGTGCCATCTTCTGATTGATGTCTCTGTAGCAAATGCCCTTCAACAATCACTACCCACAATCTCTCTGTGTCTATCAGGGCACCTGTCTATCTGTGTATAGCATCTTCAACCATTCATCTGTCATTTCTGCCTTTGTGCTAAAATGTCTCACTATCTCTTTCTTTCTATCTCCACATTGATTTGGCCTGTCTTTCTCTGAAGGCATTCTCAACCTTTGGTCTGTTTCTCTTAGAGAGGTGAAAGAGTGGTGTTTTTTTGTGGTGGTCAATGGTGAAAAGTGGAGGGTTTGTTCATGAGACACTGGCAGCTATAAAAGACTGCGTGTCTTTAATGGCCCAGACAGCACCCACCGGGGAAAATAAAAGCAACTTTAGATGAAGGAATTCAATTTTGAAAGTACTTACAAAAGCTGCTCTCTCAAATTAGCAAATGAGGTTTGAAGAGGTTTCTTGTAAAAATGAGAACTGAACTAACTACACTGCCGAGAGGCCCAGGTGGACACAAGTGATCAACACATGGTGAATAGAACGGATTTGAAGTTTGGATGGGGAAGCTCTTTAGAACAATTCTGTTCATGGATCGCATGCTGATGCAAGACGGTCGACCTTCAAGGACATTCCCCTCATTTACACAGCAATTAAGCACTACCCTGTTGGTAAATTGAAAAAGAGACAAAAATCCTCTGTGGATTTAATAACAAACTCATTACCAGGGCCCAACAGGGCGGAACTGCCTTTTAATTAGAGCAACACCTGATTAACGCCCAATTAACAGAGCCAGAGCCACTTAATTCTCCCCCACTTTGGCAGGTTGAGAACATAAACATAAGCAGTCCAGCATCTGAGTGCTTCCTCTCCTCCTGGGAATGTATGAGAGAAAAGTAAATAACGGCTTTGGAGGCAGGCTGTTGTCTGGTGGTGCAAATGCTCTGCAGAGCTGGGAACTGTATGCTGGAAACGTAGTAATTCAAAAAGCAGACAGATGAGGGCCTGGCTGGCAAAAAATCTGCTTCACTACACATGCAACTGCTGGTGGGCTGATGTAGGACAACTGTCCAAGCACAGTGAACCATCATGCGCAGCTACAAAATATGAGCTCTCATTCCTTTTAAAATTTTTATATAGCTGTGGAAGGGACTGGACAGCACACACGAACTAAGCTTACTTGAACATACTATACATGCAGTACATTTTGGTATCCATATGACTGCTAATTGGTAACAAAAACAGGGATAATTCACCACCGATTATTGTGCTTTTTATTACTCATCATCAGCAAACAGGACATATTTTATAAGAAAACAACAAAGTAACAATAACAATAAAAAACTATAAAAATAACAATAACACAATTAGTATTTGCAATACTTATGATGTCCATAAAAAGCCTGCAGTTCACCTTTCAACAAATAAAACATTTAAAAAGAACTGTTTAGAACTGTCAAAAGTGTCACATGGCCATCACAAGATGGTGCTATACATTATTATTGCAACACCTTCTGAGACTTTCCGTTAATGGTAGGAGTTGAATGTTTTGTAACAGTGTTTTTTAGATACATTCAACTGAATCACAACTGGATGTGTCCCCAAATTATGAACTTAATAACTTTGCAAACACACCTACACATCACTTTGTCAGAGAACAGTCCTCAGCTTACATTTGGTGCACAGTTTCTAAAGACGGTATTGTTGATCCTTAGTGTGTTTTTATTTTATTTCAGTCCATACTGGAGCCTTTCGGGATTCAGGATCCTAATTCCTCTAGCCAACACACAACTCCCAACCCAGCTAATCAATATTCAGTCTGCTTGTACAGATCTATAAAGCAGCAAGGAATTGCTGGTTTCTTATTGAGTCTGTGTGCATTAATGTCTTACTTACACATTCATACTCATTGTGTCTGTCACGTCCTTTTTTCTGCTCTCCACTCAAGGTGTTGACATATACCTCTTAGGAGCCATGTTGCTTTTGCTGTAACCATGGCAATAACTATAGCTGAAAGAGTGTTTAGCGGCCTTAAGTTGAGAGGAAATCTGCCATGAATCCACAGCCTTCTCTAAGTCAGGTAGAAGGTCTGGAACAACAGCTTGTTCAGCTATAAAGACTATCATCCCCACAACCATCAGCAGGACCCATCCTAAAGCCCCTACCCAATAGGAGGAGCCAAGGCTGGAGAAGTCTTGACGGATCTCTTCCCAGTGTTGATAGCTGAAGAGAGACCAGCTGAGGAGGAAGAAGAAACCTGCAGACAGAAAAGAAAAATGAGGTAAATCAAGTATCATCGTGAGGAAAAGAAAAAAGTGATTAAGGTCAATTATCACATGCCTGGAGCTTTAGAAAACAGTTTGTATGATAATGAACTGCAATTCCAAGGAAAGTAAAACATCTCTTTAAAAACTGCTGCCCTTCAGGGTATGTAAATGAGTTGTACATAAAAGAATTTCTGGAGGTGTGGGTTTGAACTGAACTACACAAACCAAAAGGCTATGTGGAGGTTAATTGGAAATGGGGTTGATTTGAAACTCCCAAAACAATAACAGTGTAATTATTAATAAGGTGAAACACAAAAACATGGTGTGTGGCTGAGGCAAACAAGTGTTTCACATATTTTGAGCTGTGCAGTAGCGTCACCTGTAAAGGTCATGATGAGCACCAGCAGTGTGGTGGGGTACAGGGCCTGTCCTGCCATGAGGAGAGAGCGAGTGTTGGAGTAGGAGCGCACCGTCTCAGATGTCCAGCAGAGGGCAAACACCAGACATAGAGTACCAGTGCACACCGCCATCAAGAAGGAAATAAGTGCAAATACTGTCTCTGCCTCCGGGGCTGGAAAACACAAAGCAACAGATGCATACGCAGTCCAAAATGAGAAAGGTAAACTACACTAATTGGTATTCATTTTAGATTGCCACATTAACATTAAGTCTCTACTATAAACAGTCAGCATGATGAAGTGAAACATGTTGAGATGATGACACATCATTCCCCTGCCTAAGACCGAAACCAGAAGTGTGAAATCAAGAGTTCATGTACTTTTAGGTAGTTTTCATGCACATGGAGTTAATGTCACACTACATTAGATTCACTGTGAAAGTAAAATGCATTGGATGTAACAAACACAGACAGGACAATTCATTGTTTTTAACAATTACCAGCAGTCGGGTGTTGTGTTGTCATCTGCAACCCCTACTGGCACAGTTCCACAGTAGTTTTTAGTGACATTGTTACACCTATCATTTTGTCATCCGTGACAAATCAAATAAAAAACAATTTTTTATCTCCTCCCCAAACATCTGTTGGTACATATACTGTAATAGCGGTTTTGTGACTGTTAATGTGTTATTTGTAAATTTTGTTTTTCTGTGTTTACTACAGGCTCATCTCAATGTTCCCAGGGTCCTATGTTAGGCTATAAGTAAAACATTTCTTCACAGTTCAAATTTAAAAACAGCGAAGGGAGATGGACATTTCAAATGCAGTTTCAATGGTAACAATTTGTTCAGCCACTGCGGAGATATCAACGTCTTAAAGTAGGAAAAACTGTCTTGCCTGCAAACTTGAGGGAATATAACATCAGTAGGCTATAAGCTATAGGAGGTTGATTTCAACACATTGACCGAGAGAAAAATACATTGAACATAGATACGCTCCCAGCCAGCTTGGCGCCTCTGTGTTCCCAGGGTTTTATGCTCCCCAGGTACTGTGTTCCCCCGCTCAGTATCCTCTTAATAAGACACATTAAGGAGACCTATGTTTCCCTGGTTCAATATGTTGAAATCACCAACTTACAGTTCACTGATGGTATAATTCTTGAAATCTACGCCCTCAAATCCGCAGGCAAGACAGGTTTCTTGACAGTGAAATATCCACAGTGGCTGAACGTATTTTTAACATTCAAACTGCATTTGAAATGTCCATTTCCCTTAAGTTAACCAATAACAATTTCTCTACACCCCCAATGTAGGTTAACTAATTTGATATTAGTACTATACTTTCTATACTATTTCATTGTAATACCTTTGATGTAACACCTTTGTTTTTTATGGTATCATTTATTTTTCAAACTAATAATCACTATCACTGAATGTTTCATAGTTTGACAATAACATAAAAAACTATGAGGACATAACCTGACGTACACTATATTCATACTGAAAGTGCATGTAAAAATGTCAGTGGAATACAACAAACTGACAGGGGACATCAATTATTTGAGTTACCAATGGCAAGAAATAAGATGTAGTACAAAGTACAAGATGTACAAAGAGTAGGTTTCAGCTGGCCAACATCGCAGCACATTTGCCTTCGGCCAAGTCTGAGAGCTTCAGCAGATATAAGAATGCACTTTTCTGCTACAGCAGCAAGCTCAAACTTGCTTACTACTACTGAGAACCTCCTCTGCAACCCAGTGTTTTTTCAAACGTTCCTCCTGATGTTGCTCACGTCTAGACATTCAAAGGTGAGGGGGAAAAAGGTTGCTCTCTCGGAACCAGTTCGTTATCAACACAGCAAAGCAAAGACATGTCTATATCACAAAATATGCTGCCCTGCCTCACTCATTTTCTTCGCCCTGTTATACAGTATGTCAGTCAAACCTTTTATCTAACCCTGAGTGACAGCTTTAGACAGATGACAAATCTGATTTGTAAACAGCAGGTAAACATCAACAAGGTGAATGTGGCTTGTTGCTCACCATTGAAGAAAGTGCCATCTTTATGATTTGGCTGGTCACTTTGAGTGTTATTCCACTCTGTCCAGAGTCCCCTCTCCTTCAGCCAGAACGGTGTCCAGACTGCGTAGCACACACACAGGCCACCTGCCAACCCCACACAGGACAGAGAAAACCTGAAGCGACTGATGGAGTCCCCCAGCTCCAGCAACTTCATTTTTCAGCACCACTGAAGGAGAAGGGACAAACAGAAGAGGCAAGAGGAAAAGACATTTAATTACTGATGCGTTTAAGTTGACTAACAGATGGAAAAATCTGTCTCAAAATTAACCTTGTTATATAGTTTATATGAATCAGCTTTAAGAATGTCGATTTGTAATTCAACTAGTCTTACCTTTCTTGTTGAAGAGAACAAAAAAGTGTCAGGAACAAAGCTTTGGAGTTCAAGTGCAACACAGTTTAGACTACAGGAACGTCTTGTGTTTACTGCTGTACAAATACTACTGTACAATCGCTTTGAACAACCTGACAGATTATTATACCGCACATGGACCACAAGCCCTCACTCGCAGATCAGTGTTGCTCCACCTCTGTTGCAATGGAAACTCCCCCCAGCCAGCATCTAAATTTCCCCGTGAATTCTCCACTGTGACCCACCAACTCATACTGTAGAGAAAGTAAAAGCACCAACAACAGCCATTCAATATTTGAGGAAGTTTGTGCGGCTTACACAAAGCAACAAGGAATAAAGAATAACTTGACATTAAACAGAAGTTAAAACGTCCACAAAGTATTGATACTTGAGATAGACACTGTAGCAGCAATATACCATGCAGACATTTAAATGCAGAAAGTGTGTTTGTGTGTGTGTGTGTGTGTGTGTGTGTGGGAGGGGCATTATACATGACAACACATTTAAGGAAATCCCACTCTTATCACAGTGGGGTATAATGTGTTGTGGTTGATGGCGTCTTCAACCTCAGATGTCACTGGTCGTTGTAGTCACATGCCTACCTCCCCCTTCGCTTTCCTTTGTTGCAATGGAACGGCACCCACAGCCCACCTAAAACCAAGCTTTCAAAAAAACATTCAGAGCACATTTTACACAAAATTCAGATTCGATTCAGATTTACTGTAAATGAAAGATTATAGTCAAATAAAGACATAATAATGAATTCCTTTATTCACAGATCATTAACTTTACAGAAGGTACAATACATTCTGATAAAATAAAGTGCATATGACCAAATAATAAAGATGTACAATTCAGATTAAGAGACTTTAAATGTTTCAGAATAAAATGTGACAGATTTTGGTTAACGTACATTTGGCATTCACTTAGAATTTAGTAGTAAATAAACATTGAGTCTTTTGAGTCTGGACTACAAAAAAGCAAGGCCGTCTCAGCTAAAAAGTAAGGCCTCAAGATGCAGAGATAAAAGTACTCTGTCCTGTTCTTCCATCCTGGCCTTGACTGCATTATGTTTCGTCTTCTCTCCTCTTTATCCTGCCCTCAGCTAATGTTTCCCCTTCATTTAGAAACAGGCCTCAGATTTGACCTTGTGTCAGGTGTTTGTGTCAAGCCTTTTCACCATAAAACATAACGACACTGAAGTACTGCCTCTTGAAATTTGGCAGCTACATTCATGCCTGTTTATCCTAAGCTTACTGTCTGGCTCTTTGCAGCAGGGCCTTGAATACATCAAGAATCTCTGGGTCCTCCCCGGCAGACAGCTCTGGAGTGTTCTTCTCCAGCCAATCAGACGAGCGGATCTGGTGCCTGAGAGTACCAATCAGAGAGTCCAGACCCTCTGCGGGCTTTGATGCTTGGCAGTCCAGCAACACAAACTCCTCAGTGGCCAGTGAGCCTGTGTCAGGAACAGGGCTATCCTTCTCCTTCAGCTGGTCGGATGACTTGCTCTCGGGTGGCGATGTTGAATTGACAATCGCAGCATTGTCTGAATCTGCACTGTCCTCTTTCAGTGATTTTTTGCACTCCTTATTGGCTTCTTTGATAAAGCGTGAGTCAGGGCTACTGCTTTTTTCTTCAATTCCTTTCAAAGCCTCCTTAATTCGCTTCATTCCTGAAATAACACAAAACAGTAACAGAACAAGTCAGGAACTATTACTCAGTGGATAGCTAGTTTAAGACACAAAGCAGGAGATGAGATGGAATAACACAAACCATTGACTGAATAAGTGAAATAATAGATATGATCTAATCAATGCCTAATTTAAGGCAGAAAATGGGAATTAGATGGAATAGCATAGCACGCTATATGAAAACTTGAAAAATAGATAAACCTTTTAACACATTTAGCTGAACATATGTGTTCGCATAAAAAGCTTCAAACATTAAGGATTATATACACTATATTTCACTTATATTACACTACAGACTGACCAAGTTGAAGGTGGAGCTGTTGGTCTGCAAAGACGATGCGGAACCAGCCGGGTGTGGTGCAAGAAAAGGCCTGACCACAGCTCAACACCACCTTGTGTCGGAGAAAACACTTCCACAGCGACAACTCCTCCTGAAATGACGACTCTCTGAGGTACTAACAAAATGGAGAGAAAGAGGCCACACATCAAGCGTACGGACAGTACATGCAATGTTTTCAAGAAATAACCATGTGGCATTATTTGCATTGCAATTAGCTATATACACAAGTAAGCATAGGTGTCATTTACACTGGGGACGCTGGGTCCCCACCACATTTTGAAATGGCTGATTTTGTCCCCATCACTTTTTGAAAGCATTTGTTAAAAATATTCTACAAACTAACTTGCAACAAGAGTGTTAAATAAGAAATGAAAATGCTTTGAGAAAGGTTTATTTGCACAATTAGAAAACATGCAATGTAATTTAAATATAGAAGAAAAAAATGTGCATTGTCCAAAAACAGTAACTTAAGCTAAAAAAAACAAGCTTATATTCTGTTATATTTTTATATTTATGAATTGTCACCTGCCAGCTGAATTTTTGTTTCCCTTTAAATAAAGACATTTCCACTGTAAATTGGAGCAGAAAATGTCTCAAGAATGCAAGAAGAAGTTTTTAATGCTCCAGTTTTCTGGGGGAGGACGACAAGACCTCCTGCTAATATATTTCAGCCTTTATTTATATATTTCTTCAAAATAGTGTAAAAATCTTCTCGTCTTGTTCTCATGCACGTCAAGTGTGTCATCACGCCCCTAATCTGAGTCCTTATGTCCCCACCACTTTTCAACACAAAGTAACGCCCTCACAAGCAAGAACTGAAACATTAGCCTCCACATCTTAGTGTGACTTTGATCATGGTACCTTTCTGAAGTCCGCCCAGATGTACAGTGTAGCAGGCCTGCCCAGGTAGGGCACGCCCATATTCCGCAGCTCTCCTGTCAGGTAACTGTGAGCAGCTTTCAGTCGGCACCTGTTCTCAGGCAGAAATTCCTTGCTGATCCACTCTAGAACATGAGAGTGTGAAGTGACAATAGGGAAATGTAAATTAAATGTTACAAGTCTTTATGTGCAGCAGAACGCCATGCTGTGCTCCTGCAATATTAAAGGAAGGCGAAAAAAAGGGGATGATATCACTCAGAAGCAGGAAAAGCACGTTTGAATGTTTGAAAAGCTTGCACCTAAAATAATTAGCAATTATGGATTTAAACACAACTGAGCAAAGAGCTGCCTTTGTACAAGGAGAGCTGATTGTAAGTAGTAGTGTGAATTTAGACTATTCTTAAACCAAAAGGGGGTTGATGCGATTCATTGTGTTTGCAAAGCATGTGAAGCTTGGCTCCATACCTTTGTCATGAAGGAGTTTTGCTACCTGGTGCTGGGTGATTCCAGAGATACCGTGGAATGAGCCCAGCTGGGCCAAAGCCTCCACGAGGTCTCTGTTCTCAGTATACAGAGTGCCTATTCTGACTCCTGCCATTGCAAAGTCCTAGAAACCAAAAGAAGTTAATGAAAAGGAATTGTGAAAGCAAACACCCACTGAAAAAAACACCTGAGATTTCACTGTACTGTCAGCAGGGATATAATATAAATAACGGCCTCACACTCTCATAGACCTCAACACAGTACGTACCTTACTCACACCCCACATTACGTGCGTCCTCTGTGGGTCGGGCAAACTAAAATGAGAGCACATCATAAGCAGTTAAGAGGCTGTCTTCAGTCACAATTGTTATGATTAAGCGTCTAACAGAGTAAGCACACGGAGGTTAATTTCATGCTGTTACCTGTCTAAACTGAGGACACTATGAAAGGTGATAGATTCATCAAAGACCGTCAGCATGTACACTTCATCTACAATGGCATGTAGCTCATTTCTAAAGCAGGAAATGGGGGAGAGAAAGATAATATAAATACAGTATACAGTGCAGCATTTATAAACCTTGGCTTTATATTGTTAATGATAATGTTTATGACAAAGAAAATGCAACATAAATGTAAAATGGTGCCTTCAATGTGCTACATCAGTGTAAAAGCACTAAGGTTTATGGATACAACAGCTCAGTGCCTACAACAGTCTCTGTAGAGGGAATTACTCTGGCAAGATCATTTAGAAAACAATAGTGCAGGTGCAGGAGACTCCTGGGCACATGGCTGCACTTGACAATATGCTGATGGTTAGGAGAGGTGATAAAACTCCATCAAGAGCGCTTAATATTCCACACACGGGACAGAGCACTTAAAAAAAAAAAGAGTTCACACTAGGATCTGTATGCAGTGCCTTGGCAATGTGCTTAAAGCAGCCATAGGACTACCGGGACGACTAGAGTGTCAGGCCACTGCATGAGATAATAGTGGGGCAAACATACCTTTTGGCAAATTCCAAGAAGGCAATCATCTCTTTCCGCGTGTAGATCTCAGCCAAAGGGTTGTGGGGGTTCATCAGTATAACAGCTCGGATGATCAACCCCTAAATGAAACATCCAGTTTCTAAGTAACTTTAAACTGATGTACCGTATCTTCATAGTCTTTTAAGATAAAGCTGCAAAACAAATCACTGAGACAAAATAGAGCATCCGAGGCATTTATCTAAACCAAGAACTCTGCCCGAGCATGTCTGGAGCTTTCCTCAAATATTCAGCAAGTGAAGCAAGTGCTTCAGAAAAAACTATGCATTCATTAATTACCTCTTGCTTAGCCCTTTTCAGACCTTCTTCTAGTTTGCCTACAGTGAGGTGGAAGGGTTGACTGTCTTTGCCATCGGCCTATAAATAAAAAATAAGTGGAAAAGAAAAAAATACATCAACATCTAAATTTCTGCCAATGACAGCTGACAATACCTTAGGGCATGCCATCACATGATGCACTTAAAGATCAATGCAATATAAGCCCCCCTACCACGAATTATATTGAATGTATACAATCAGTAAGACACTACAAGTAAACACAAACACACAAGTAAGTATTACGTAAGTACAAATAAATCAGACTTTGTATTCCTACCTCACAGTCAAGAGGAACATGAAAGAGTTTTACATCACTGTACAAATCTAGGTCCTCAGTGATTACACCGTAGAAAGGAGTAGGGATGAGAATGGCATCTACAACATGAAAAACATAATTACCACATTTTCAAACACATACATCATCTTGCAAATTATCACTTTGACTGACTTTGTGTTTAGATGCATACAAACCTACCATACATCATTAGTCATTAGCGGCCATTTGTTTGGCTAATTTGTACACAAATTTGCCAAAAAGTTGAATTTGCTGATATTGATGATTTTCAGGCCTATATGCACAAATGAATCGCCATCAAATTACCACCAAAGTGATTCAAGTTTGAAGTAAATAGATGAGCATGGGCTGTCTTCCAGGCTTATGATTTTCATATTAAGGCAGTTATTTAGCAAAACAAATATTCTACATCGCTTAAAATGTCCTTACTTGCAGTGGCAATTTATGCGATTTAAGTGCTTTGTTTAAATGGAAAATTGGCCAGCTTTCCTGTTGCTGTTGTACACATATTTATATTCATATAGTGTAAATATGGGTGTGTTGTGTCTGCATGTCAGTGTATCCTGAACTTACCTTTAGGGTCACAAATTACTGCAGCAATACATGAGAAGAAGGAACTACAGCCATTCATCACCACAACCTGAACAAACACACACATCCACTGTGTTATAAAAGACCCAATTACGGTGCAAAAGGAGGCCTGATAAATACTCTACAAATTAATCCACAGACTAAAACAGCCTTTCATTACATCTGTAGATTAAGTTGGTTGCCCTAAAAAAAAGCTGTTAAATTGTAGCAATATGGCATCTTTTTAATCATTACAGAGTTAATCAAATAAATTAATTGAATCCACTGCCTTACATTTTTAAGAATGGCAACAATCCACAGTGTCTTCTGCAGCAGCAGTTTGACACATTTTTAAAAAAGGCTTATTTGTCAGTAATTACATAATTTGCAAGACATCTGTATCAGTCATGGGAGGGGAACCTTTACCCAAATCACAGCAATCCAGATTGACTAGTTACACAAAGAATAAAATATAGAAAAAGGATTGCATTGTGGTGGAAAATGTATTGGTACAATACTTCATTAAAATTAAAAGTCCTGCAGTCAAGTTTTATTTGTGTAAAAGCAATAATTATTAAAAGTAACATGTATTATTTTAGACTCAAAAGTGCAACTAGTCATTGTGAAGAATGACTCCTTTTAGAAAATTTAAATAATTAATCATTTCATGTTAAGTAAACTTGTAGTGCTGTAGGTGCTTGAGGTGGCACAGTAGTTATATTTTTAACCTTCTGTACAGTATGGTGTGTGTGTGCTGAGCGCCTCCACTAACCACAGTCATAACATAAATGTTCTAAAAAGGGCTAAATTTCCCTCTGAAAAGGTCAAAATGTAAAATCACAAAAAAGTTCAAGAACCTGAGAACTGTGCCTACTGTACATACAGTGTATGAGTATATTTTCCACCTCTGCTATTTATATGCTTTCCACAAACTCTAGATTTTACTATATTACAAGGTATAATTTATTAACATTCCCTCCATCTACAGTATTCAGTATCATATTATATTATATAGTGTGACAGTTGTTACTTGTGTTACATTCCAGAATTAAAAGCTATAATCTTCACTCACGTTGTCAGCTTTCAGTGGGTTTGGAGAACAGCAGTAGTGAGTGAGGAACTTTGCAACCTCCTCTCTCAGGCTGAAAGAAAGCAACATGGAAAGGTTGTAAGAGGGTTAATGTTTACTTGAACTTGTCTTGTATTGTTCAAGAAACTTTACTAGGAGCCACATGACAAATATGCTTCTCATTTAAAATAAAAATTAAGGTCTACTTTAATATCGTACAATGAGTGTCCCGTCCAGTCCGAATATTGCAGCATGGATGGGTCAACATGCAGCATGTCAGGCTTGGTCAGCTGTAGCAGAAAGGAAAACTGAAATTAATTCATGAACACAGGCAGAGCAATTGATATTGGTACGATTGATACTACTCATGCTCATGCTACTCATTTGGTATAGATTCCTTTTTTTTAAATTAATTATATGAATACAAAACATGGGTGGATGTCTCATTTCCAAATGTTTTCAGTACTTCTGCATAATGTTTGGGCCAATAAACAGCCCTGCCATATATAACTGGAAACATAAGCATATCAAAAGAAAACATCCAAATCCCATACATATAGATGAAGCACTGAGAAAACAAAACAAGAGTGGCACCCTTCCACATCAAACTTGTGAGAGAATGGCAGAAAGAAAACGTAGCGCAGTGTCACTACTTTTCACCTGTAGTTTAAAGGTGAAGAAATCTTTTTTTATTGTATTAGGATTTAATTCTAGTATGACTTTGAATTACTGGACTATTTTCACACTTACTAGCACAAACATTTTCACACTATATGTGTAATAATGGCCGGTATGTGTCATGTGATTTATCTTTAAGTGTAATTTAAGAAATCATCAGTCTCAGTATTGTTAAAATTGTAACAAAATGTACCGGCATCACATCGAATTCAAAAGGTCTGGTATTATACTCCACAGCATTACATCATTTTTACTTGGATGTGCCTGCACAGTTAATCTTACCCGTTTATGAAGAAGATCATAGCATAATTTATTCTCACTGGTACCCATGTTGATTATACCCTGGGAGGGAGAAAAAGAGGAGGACCTTATAAATAATCATTACAGTGTAACTTTTTGACACATCAGAAATGTCTATCCATCTGTAATGGGTATTCATTACACGACACAGACTCACTTCAGGGTTGTCTGTGTCGTGGTATCGGTCCTTTCCATATTGGACAAAGCCCTCCTGGAGAATGCCCTGATGCTGTCGGATGCTGTTACCGCGGTTGGACAGGTACACGCTAGGGCCGGGAATTTCTGCAGCTCTCGTTGTTGCCAAAACATTCTGAGACATTGTGCAGGCCTTGACAGAGATAGGCGGTGTTGACTTTCTAGTCTCCTGAGTGGAAGCAGCCTGTGCTGTGGGAGCTCCTGATGGTGGCTGAGATAAAGATGAAGGGACAGCTGAGGTCATCAGTGAAGCTGACAGGTGTGCTACGGGTGAGAAGGAGGGGTCAGTCGGTGTTGTTGCAGCAGTGGGAGGAGCACCCTGTCTGACAGCAACCAATGCCCCCGTGAGCATGCTGAACAGGCGCAGCTCATGCTGGCGCTCCTGTTCCGCCCTCCTCTCCTCCCGCTGTTGCCTGCACTCCTCGGCCTTCAGCTCTCTCTCCAGCCGCGACTCCTCCAGGGAGAGGAGGCGCTCCTCTGCAGACTGCTGCCAGCTCAGGAAGCTGGCCAGGGCTTTATCCAGACTGCAACATCTAGCACCCCCGTGGCCCCATGATGTTTTGCAACCACGGCGACGCTTCCTCCGTCTCACAGAGGTTGGGGTGTGAGAGCCCTCCTTTCTGGGCCGCTCAGATGTGTCCTGTGGCACAGGACCACCAACAGCCTGGCTGGCAGCTGTGGCAGAGCCAGCAATGTTCAGGTCACTAAAACCTGGAGACATGAAAAACAACTTTTCAACTACCTAACAAATCAAAATCAAATCAACCATATACACAAGTGCAGCAGTTGGTGATCTTGGAAATCTTGGGTGCAGTTCCAGCCACATAGCAGTTACAATTATACAATATTGTAGATTTTAAAAAAATTGAAGAAACCAGATGGTTAATTATATGGTTAAACTTATATTTATGGTCAGAACAGTGGATCACTTCACAAGTCTGAGGTAGAACATTCATAACTACTATGATAAAATCTTTTTCAACAAATATAATTAGTTAATCTTTCTTTAAGTTTCTTCTTCTGAACAAAATAAATAGAAAATTTAATGGAAAACTTAATAATAATAATTAAAATATAATAATTTGTTCATGATTCAAATTAATTAAACCAAATATTTATCAAGATATATTAAAAACATTTATTATATTGCGATAATTATCATTATTGTTTTACTGCCCAGCCCTATTTCTAACCTTATGTTAATGATAGTAACAGTAAAAATAAAAGTATTTGGATTGACAACCTGAAGGGGAGATTCTTGCGTTTGTTGAGCTCTCTCCTTGACCCAGAGTGTCCTCTGGCCCCAGTAGGGACTGCCCATCAGTTTCCTGGTCATCACCAGATCCATAGTACATCTCAGGGGGTGCAACACCTGAGTTCAGCATGCTCTCCTCAACATCTTCACATTTAATATCCAGTGGATCTCCGGTTTTTGGAGGCTGACCAAACAGAAACCCACCCGAGGAAGTAGGACCAAAAGAGCCAGCTGAAAGTCCTTGCACGTATGTGTCAGGGCCACCGGGGCTCTGAAACACCTGTTGAGCTATGACAGCTCCGCCCAGGGAGGAGTAGGTAATAGCTGGTCGGTTGGCCAGGACCCTGTCCATCACGTCATAGAACTTCCAAGATCTCATTTTGTGGTTGTCCTTAATGCGGCGGTACTCCAGCTTCATCTTTTTTATCTTCTCCCTGCACTGGTCGCCGGTGCGGTAAATGCCCTTTTCACGCAGGATATGTGCTATGCGGTCAAACACACGCTGATTGCGCAATGAACTCTCTAATTCAATCTGGACCGACTCGTCGGACCACAGCTGGAGCAGCTCCACTATCTCTGGGTCTGTCCAGTTGCTTCCTCGCTCATGCCTCCTGCTGCGGAAGTCCATCCTTTAAGTTACAGGACGTATTCTGCAACACAAAAGGAGGGACAATATGAAGACAAATACAGTAGCCCCTGCCATCACAATTTAAGGAACACATAGAAACGGCGGGGCTTAAAGTGGGCACGTGTTTATGCCAAGAGTGTTATGTAAATAGTAAATATAGTACGCTATTTTACCCACTGGTGTTCTCTCACCGTAATTCAAAAGTGCAACTCTTCGGAGCTCAGATGTAACGGTATCACCCACGCAAGTCGACACATGTCACGGCTTGTTAACCCGATTTGGACTGGTTTTGAATGGTAAAGCTTTGTCCAGCCGGTGCTAAGATATATTAATAATTCTTAACAGCAAATGTGTCATAACTTGGTGAAATGGGGAATAGACGCGTACAAACAAATCTACATCCGGGTTGACGGCACATGCGTGCTGTCCTTATTCCGGGATAACTTTGGTCCGTGTTAACGGAGGAGCTGGCGCTGCTGAAAGCAGGCTGGATTTCACTTCTAGGCTGTAGCCGGGTAGACACAACCGTGCGAGTCAGAGTCAGAGCTTTGTGTTATAGCCCCCTCTACCGTATGGTGTGCTGTTTTAGCCGTGTGTAAGTTCAATAGATGTCCAGAAGATGGCGGTCACATACAGCTGTACAAATCAGATATGTGGAAAATGAGGATGCGTGCTTTCGACACAGGCGTGGCCCGGAATAACAGTACCAGCGGTTGAAAACAACACAAAAAGCCATCATTCTGTCAAAAAAAAAAAACGTGCTATCTTACCATTAGAAACGCATTGACTTAAGTTGCTTCATTAAACACCATGAATGTATAATTTGTAATGGGCCTCAAACTGACTTATTGCACCTGCTAAAGAAGGTGAATTGTTAACGCGGATTAACGTGACGCTAGGTAAATTAATTCCGTCTTCTGGCTATATAAAAACAATGACCCGCCCCTTTCAACGACCACGGTAACACGAATGAAGCGCACTCCCTGGTCCAGTCGGCTTTAAAAGTGACGTATTTCCTGGAGAAAAAGGGTTTGTGGCAGTTTGTTGTCATCTTCGTCCAGTAGTGAACCGTTACGATGTGTTGGCACGTAGCCCCTTATTCTCCCATTTTTTCTATCCATGTGTTTACTTTGCATGTGTGAATTAATGCCAGCATACTTTAGACAGCTTACAAGCCATGTGAAAAAACTGAAACCGTTAGAAGAAACCGTTAACGAAATATCTGGCCGCGACGGTTATAGTTCATTGGCAACATACAACCATGGTGGTGGTTGTGGCAAGTTGGTGGCGGATGACAAGCAAGACGGGATAGTTGAATTCGGCGCCTTTGGAGGAAGATGGGTGTGTGCGGATAGTATTATTATTCATCTCTTGGACCAAGTAGAGGACGTACAGCGTCAGGTTAAATGTAAAGTTGAAAGTCGACCCGCAGGAGAAAGGGGTAGTCCCCGCCCCGGAGGGAGAAGAGGATGAGGAAGCATGACGTCTCGATTCATGTTGGTATCTTAGTTTTTGTAAAGAGTTAGATGTGTTCAAAGCAGGGAGGGGAACTGTGGCAGAGTGGGTGGGAACAACAGGAGTATTTGCGGAAAGCATGACGGCTATTTTAGCATAAAGTCTCTGCCAGCGCTGCCGACAGCTCTCTCCAGTCTTCCCAGTCAGGTGAATCCTTCCCCAGTCTGGAGAACAGGCTTTCTTAATCCAGTGTAGGTGGACCTTTTTCTTTTTTTTTTTTAATGGAGGCATGACTTAGCCCGATAATTGGCCAGCTTTGGGTCCGCAGCACTTCCTCTCTGAAGTTTATTGTTGGTAAGATAACAGCATGTTTGTTCTTACTGTTTTTTACAGTGTTGTTTTGTGCAGCATGTCTCATTTTTTGACGTATGCACTGCTTTCCTCCATCCCCGCTGTTTCTCTTGCGCCCACACTCACATTTTCTTTTTCTCTTACTTATTCACCCTGTAGCCTTAATAGGCGAAAGCCCTCATCAAGTACTTTTATCTGTGGAAAGTGGGAATTGCTGTAATACATTTCAGTTAGTTCAGCTTCTTCGGGCAAGGAAGAAATTGTTTCAGCCATAGCTACGCACTGATCCTCTTTGCACTGGCATCAGTGGCACCTTTTTTTTTTTTTTAAAAAGGAAAATGGTCTCTCTATGGACCTACAAGCTGAAAAACTAAACTTCAAGTGATCCAACTCATTCTGTCTTGTCCTCTGGTTACCATCGTTATTTTATACTTCTAGTGCAACTCCCACTGGGATCTCAACAAGGAAGGAAGTCAAGGTCACTTGCTATTGAGGCAAACAGCAAGGCTCCAAACTTCCTCCTGAATTGGATTACACTGCCTTACCACATCAGAGATTACCCTATAAACTAATATTTTGTGTCTGTCTCTGTTAGGCCTTTCCCAGGTCAGTTAAGAGATCAAAGCTATTAAAAGGCTTGGTGCTGCATTATGTTTATATGTTGCCAGGGGATGTGGGGCTGAGTGGTTCACATACACACTTTGCCCTAGACACCACCTTTCTAGCTCTGTAGCTTCGTCACCAGTGCTGGGTTTTACAATACCAGTAATTCTTTAGTTGGCAGGTCACACATTTTTATAAGAAGCATAAAAAAGAAATGCTCTGGAGGAGAAAGAAGCCGGAAGACAAACTTGTCAACAATATAAGTCATCTATAAACTAGGGCATAGTGTTGTGGATGAGAGGTACTTTGACACAGGGAACAATGCCAAGATTCAGGTGGCTGTTAAAAATTGGGTTGGATCCCTCTGTGGGACATTACTTACAGAATTGATTCTTTCTCCTGGACACATTGCTTCTGCCCTAGACAACATTTTATCATGATTTTCTATCTCTGTAGCTCGCAGACAGTGGGAGCTAAGATGGATCAGGCTTTAGTGGCACTCGGTCACAGCGTTCTCGCTCACTTCAAAGTGTGTCTCAGATGATCGGCGTACAGCTCACTTCCAGCTGTGTACCGCTGTCCTGACAGAGCACAACATGCCTGTGCAATCATGCTTCTGGATTTCCAATCGAACTCCCAACTTGGAGCAATTTTCCCTCTCAGGAGAGGGTGCTTGGCTGTCTGTGGTACTTCGCAAATGCTGCAGCTCTCTCCGGTGCCTCGGTTTTCTGTGCAAGGGCAGCCCAGAGCACATGGTGGGTGTCGATTTGGCTGCTGGGCAGCCTGAAATAGAGCTGGAGTGCTTCATCTGGTCTGTCACAGCTTTCTGTGCTTGTCATTAGCAATGGAAATTGCCTATTCATTCCCATCAAGACTAGATCTATTATTCTGTCACATTATGTTTATGGCATTTCTCTGTAGTGATATGAAAGTTAACTAAAAGCATATTGTGTTTGTCAAAAACATCACATTTGCACTATCAGACACTTTCATGTAACCACAGGCTTCTGCTGCTGTTCACTAAGCAGATTCTCTGGCACTGCTGGGGGTAAATGTGTTTTCCAGTTTATACACATTTTCCAGATGGGTAGGAAAATGAAATGAGAAACTTCCTGGTTTAAGTACAGTTCTGGACCTGTGCTATACTTCAAATATAATAATGTGTTTGACTTAGTAACATGATATTGATAATGTGGTGAGTGGAATTATTGGTTCAACTGTTGGTATTTTAATCAGCAGTGGAAATGATGGCCAAGCAGATGGAGTCATTCATTAATCATTTCACATACTGGATTTTTTTAGGCCAGTACTGATAAGGATATTTGAGAGTGTTCTGAATAAGTAATGATATACTGGCTGAATGTTTAATTTTCTTATGTAAACTTTTTGCCAAGAATCAGATTATATTTGGTAATCAAGGTTGTGACATGTTTACTGAGGCCAGATTGTTTTAAAGTTGTGCAATAAGCTTCATTATCTAGGATGGCAGTAAATACTGTATAAGATAAGGTAATGTCATCATTACCTTATCTTATACAAATACAGGTTATTACTTTTTTATAAAGAACTATAAATGAAAACGAACACCGCCATCAATATCTGTGATAAGCCAGTACTGGCCGATAATATTCCTCCCGTGTCTGTCGGGCTGTAGCTGTAGCTCACAATACAATTTAGACCATTGTATCGTAAAGCTATAACACAGCTTGTAAGATCAGCAGAAGACAGCATGTTGATAATTATATCTGCAACATATAGATGCAGTATTGATATTACTATATATATCAAAATTATCTCCAGATCTTTTTGGTGTAATCAGTTTTCAGCAGTCTGGCTCATAACAGATCTTAAAAGCGAATCCTCCTCAAAGCTGCAAGTTTGTAGTGCAGCAGTGCAAAGGCAGTTTCCTAAGGGCTTAATGGTGATATGAAGACAATAATGAATGCACAGTGTTAAAGCATTGCTAATCCATCTCCACCTCTTCTCAGTAGAGTGGAATAGTGAGGGGGCGTCAGGGGACAGGAATCACTGTAGTTAGTTTGTACCAAACAGTCTTCTTCTGTTGGCCAGCTCCACTGGATGAAGTGTGCTCTTCAAGGGCACCTCAACTGTCGCTGCTGAGGTGGAGGAGAGGATTGCTCATTATGAATTTTCTAGACTGAACATCTAAGCAGAGTGTTTTGATAAGTACAACCTGTTGTTGCTGGTGCTGTTGTATTCTATAGGTGAGAAAGTTGTTTTTGATAAACAAGAATCTGTGATCAAAATGTCTCGCCATCCTCATGAGATGCTGAACTACATTTGGAGGTCTGTCAATAGCTTAAAAAAGAAGGCACTCAATTAATAATTCAAAGCTGTCGTTTTGTTTTACCATACCATAGGTCGCTTATCCACTCCTGCATTTCCACTTACTGTGATCATGAGAGGGTTTTGCAACTGATTTTCTATTTTCATTGTAGTTTGGATTCTAAAGTCTTAAGTTCTCCCTTGGTTTGAAGGTTGAAGTTTCATCTCAGTTTTAGGCCTTTGATGTATATTGTAAGAGTAAGCAGCCTCTTGTTAACTCCTCTCCAGGCTGTGTTTTAAGAGAAGGTGTTTTAGGCGTTGTTATTATGTGCTCATTATTTTCCGCAATGCTGTAAGGGAGAGGGATACCCCCCCCCCCCCCCCCCCCTTCTCTCCATCTATTCCTCCCTCTCTCTCTCAGCCTTCTCAGTGACAGCAGACCCCCTGCTCCTGTTTTTGCGATTCCGGCATAGCATCTAATGAGCTCAGAAGAATTGCTCCACAGGAAGAGTGACAGCTCCTGGTCATGTTTCCACCACCTCTCCTGCTGCGCTCCAATCACACCCACTCCTAAATGTATCTATGAAGCCACAGATGAGGTTCTCTTTTAATAGTTTGGATATGAGTAACTCTCCAGAAGCGGGAGATAACTGTTTGGATGAATAAAGGGCGAGGTTATCCTCTGTGTGGGTAAAAATTCAGAAATGATTCCCTGCTTTGGATTTTAGGGAGAACTTAAGGCAAAAACAACAGCTTACCTGCAAACTAATCACCTTGTTGCATAAAAAATTCCCGAAGCATGGCTTATGCTGCATTCACACAAAATTCGGCAATGTGGTTCTTTCCCGCAGGGTTGTGTGGAGGTATGGTCATGTTTATTTGGGCTTTAGAACATAACTACCGTAAATCGGAAAATAATCACTGCTTTGCTCTCCCCAATGATGCTCCCTCTCTTCATTCACTCTATAGCTGCTATCTCTCTCTCGCTAGTTGAGCCGGAGAGGATGGGCCAACAGACAAATCCTACTCATCCTACCTTTGAAGATATTCTGTACTTGGAGAAGAAGACCTCATCACATGCCTAAACTGGTCCCTAATAGGGCTGCAAGTAATGATTTTTTATTTATTTTTTTCATTGTCGATTAATCTGATTATTTTCTTGATTAAGCAATAAGTTGTTAGGTCTATA